TTAGTTCACACAGTACAAACGAGTAGACGTATTTCTAATACACAACACGGGGCCAGCAGTATTTGTCGATACATTTTTTCTACGTCAGCAACCAACGCAATTTTATTCGTGCGCCAACGAATGAATGTGTCAAACAGCTCCGGCTGTATCGTCGGGCCATTCAAACACCGATCATTTAACGAAAAACCGTTAGATGTTTTCGCTGAGCCATCATACACCGTTCGTTGCTTTGTCGTAGTGCTTTCTTCGCGAGTTACGGTATAGCCGGAGAGCGCATACACCTATGTAAATCATACACATCTGCATGCACTCTCCGACTATACATGCGACGACGTTGCGCTAATTACGGCATTAGCCGAATTAGTCGTGACGTCATGCGCATCCACTCAGTCACAACACAACCTTCAACCAAAGAACAATGAATTAAGAGTATATATCCAAACACATCAAACAACTGTGTTTATTACATCAATACATCATGCTCCTTCCATCACTATAACGGCATGATGTGGCACGTAATAGCCGTCATTTAGTGGAGATTTGCTGAGATTCATATGATTGCATTGAATATAACTCAACATGTCGTCTTTGTAGCGTTCATAGAATACTGGATTCTTTTCGAACTTTTTCTCTAAGTGAAAGAATCTTCTTAGTGCCATTTTTCGTGAGTCGCCGAGGAAGTTTTCGTTACTTGGATTTGTGTTAAAGGGAAGGGAAACTTGTAGTTGGCCGTTTGGCAGACGAATTGTTCTTGCCTTGCAGAACTCGACGCATTTCTTATGCTCCTCAGTCATGATCGGTTTCAATTTTACTTCTTCATTTTCCCAAAATCGTTTCAACGCTGTATTCAAATCGTTGTCATCCTCTTTGACACATGCAAATCGAGTCGCGTGAATGCGCACACCGTAATCCTTTTCATCACACGTGGCGCCAAAAACAAGCCAGCCTAGTGCAATGTTTTGTGCGACTGGTTCATTCAATTTGCCTTCCCTTAGCCCTTGTTGAAGTATGATGCCGTAAATGTCGACACCCAACAAAATGTCCACTTTATTTGCGCTCATAAACTGAGGATCGGCCAGATTTAAACCTTTCAAATGTTTCCATTCGTTCGTTTTGTTCTTAAATTGTGGGCCGGAGGACATGATTGAGTGGAGCACGAGTGCGTCCATCGATATCATGAATGAATTGTCAGTGGCTGACTGCACTTGTAATCGGACGGACCGAGTAGCCTTTCCAAGTGGTTTGTCGTCAATGCCAATTAATGGAACTTGTTCTTTTTTCGTTTGCAAATGCAGTGTTTGAACGGCCCTTTCAGATATAACAATGCCCTGTGAGCCTTGGTCGATTAAAGCACGGAACAAATGATAAGCGCCTGACTTATCTGGTATTTTTACTATGGCTGTGGCCAATAATTTTTGGTTGAGAAATGACGGATTATTTATAGTCGCGACGCGTTGGCTCGTCGAAGCTTCATCTTCGTGTAATTTTGTGCTATGAAGGCCATTGCATTTCTTGCATCGGAATTTGGATTTGCATATTTGAATGCCATGGTTTTTTAGGCATACAACACAGAGGGATTTATCGAGTACGAATTGCTTGCGTTGGGTGACACTCCATCCATTAAAAGTATCGCAAAACAGAATATAATGATTGGCCTTGCACACTTCACGGGTTTCTCTTCTCTTCTGTGTGTGCGAAATTTGTGTTGTATGTACTTTCTGTGTAGTGGGTTGCGAAACGAATGAGTCTGAGGTAGGCGTTTTCATTATTCTATGCTGAGTTTCTAAGAAGTCGAGCATTTCACCATATTTCGGAATGTCTTTTGAGCCTCCCAGTTTCTTTTCCCAATCGATTCTCGTTTCTTTGTCTAATTTCGTTTGCAATATGTATATGATAAATGGATCCCATTCTTCAATGCTTACGTCGAGCGATTCAATGCATTGTAATGATGTTTTCGTTGTGTCGATCAATTTACGAATGCTGCTTGCATTACGATGTTGAATTTATTCTTGAAAGATGAATGAATTCAAGCAATCGTTCACAATTGCACGCGTATTATGGTATTGTTCTAAAAGTACTTTCCATGCGATATCGTAATTTGCCTCGGAAGCTGGGAGTTTGCAAATCGATTGAAATGCTTCACCCTTCAAACTGTCGCGCAAGTAATGAATTTTGCTTATTTTTGGTATGTTTGGGTTTTGATCGACTAGAGACGAGAAGGTGTCGTAGAATGTGGTCCATTCCAATTCCTTGCCGTCGAATTTTGGAATAGAAATGGTTGGTAGTTTAATTTCGGGGGCGCCGTTGTTACACCGATTGGCCATTGTGGAGTTTAATGACAACATTTCGTTTGGCCCGTGATCTTTGGTGATTGATTTTATCATTGTAACGGTGTTAATGTAGGCCTCTGTTACCGATTCGTTATCAATCTCAAAGTGACTCAAATCAAACTCATCTTCTTCTTCTAGTTTTTCCCACAATTCTTTGTACTTTTCATAGGAGCCTTCCAGCTGTAAAAACCGTGTGGAGGCTCCCACTGCTGTGGCACCGCTTTTTATTTTAGTTCCATGAGTTAAGATTGCACGGACAAGATTATCGCGCTTTAGTAACAGTTTTGTATATGCTTGTGATAGTTCAGTCATTTTCAGGCTAAATATCAATTACCTTTTGCTAATTCGTGCGAGTAAATTGCTATTTTAATTTTATTCAAAAGGCTGAAAGGCGAATTGCTTTAATTGTTTTGAAAATGCGAGTGAATGAAGCCAGAAATGCGAAAAAATGCGATGAAATGCTGTTAATTTGATGCTAAAATGGTTGTGATGCAAAAAGAAATGCGTTGGTTTTATTCTCACAGTGTGAGATTTTGTTTCATTTTTATTTAAATGAGACCAGTTTCAATTACATTTTAATGTGTACTTGAAAAATTTTTTTGATTAAATGCTGAGAAAGTATCATAATTCGATTTGTTTGTGCTGTTATGTACGAGATACTTTCGTTATGTGTGTGTAAAGTAAACAAAGAAAAAAACAAGACCGCAGAGCTTCTTGAGTTGTTAGTTACTTAATCTATTTTGTTGTTTCACAACAAACTATTTTTTGGCGCACTACATGAAATATATTTCATCAAAGTAACTTTGAAGTAATATATTTATTTGCGAAATGAATTACAAGATCTTGGTTTTATTTCTTTTTTTAAATATACTGCCTTTGGTTATTAAATAAAAAATATGAGTATTGAATCTAAAATCACTTTAATTCTGTTCAAGACACAGAAAATACTATACGAAAAACTAATGTAATTTTTAAACAACATTTGATAATAAAAATTTGATTGGCGCTTTAAGATATTATGCACCTATTTGTCGTTACTGCCACTGTTTTAAATTGAATAAAAAATATGAGCATAAAATTCAAATTCACCATAATTTGTTTCAACACTCAAAAAGTATCTAGACAAAAAAAAGCAGATTAGTAGCTCTACATTTCATGTAGTGCTAAAAATGCGATAAAAATGCAATGGCTGTGATTTGTTTTTTGCCTAAATGTATACTGTGTGAAATGCTGAATGTATTTGAAGAGTAATGAAATGATAATCATATGCATGCAAGAAATGAGCAGAAAAAAATCACATATCTGATAACAAATTTCGTGTGATTTTTTTCAATGCGTTCTTTGTTAATTTTGCGTTTTTTTCTACAACGATTGCTAAACGAACGCCTGGTGGAATGATTTTATTTTTTAGTTCGATGATGCTCGTTTCGCCGTGATTTTCACACTCGATTTCGTCTTGCTCCGGCGATGTGCTGAATGTATTGTTTGTGAATGTGACTTGTAAGCCGCTGTCACGGTAGTTTTTGTGTGTTTGTGTGGATTGCGGATGTTTGTTGTTTGCTTCAGTGTGTGAGTGGCTGTTAAGAGCAAAACCAGATGGTGTGTGCGTGCGACGAAATGGGTTTGTGTGCGCGTGGTTAGCTGGGTTTGTGTGCGAGTCTTCGGCTTTGTTTGTGTGCGGGCGCTTCGCTGCGCTAGTGTGAGTGCCGTCGACTTCGTCTGTATGCGTGCGCTTTGCTGCGCTGGTGTTGGTGCTGTTGATTTCGTTGGCTTGAGAGGTGTGAGTGAGTGTGGCTGTATGCGAGCGACGGAATGGGTTTGAATGCGAGTCTTCGGTTTTGTTTGTGTGCGAGCGCTTCGCTGCGCTAGTGTGAGTGCCGTCGACTTCGTCAACTTGAGAGGTGTGAGTGAGTAGTAAGGACCATGAATAAAACTAGATGGAAATACCACTGGTTTTATGTAAAAAATAAATTTATTTTCTGTTTATTTTCTGTTCTTACTAACTAAAACAATTTTTCTGTGTTCAAATTACTAAACAAAGAGTGCAAAATAAAAATAGCGTTCTGATTCTTACTTTTGCTTGGCTTTCACTATTCGTTCTATGACTTTCGTTAATCGCTCTGCTCTTGCTTGCTGCTCTGCTTTCGCTAATCGCTCGGGAGAAGCGAAGTTACTTGCGAAAACGACGGCTATTTATACACAAAATTTGGCGCGAAAATGCGCCGGCGGAACCGACTGAGTGTGCGCGAGAAGAAACGGAGAAATGAGCAGAGGAGAAGTGACGAGCGAATGCAGAACAGGGGCGAGCGATGAACGAGTGTGTGAGCAATTGAATGAGTGAATGCGTGCTTGAATGAAATGAGTGAATGTAGTTTTTTTTTGTTCCATTGTCACTGGCGTCGGGCTTTTCCCGGCTGTACAGTAGAGTGTCCGGAGATTTCTAAATATCAAATCAACATAGCTCATTTTATTCCTGGTGCTCAATAGAGTATTTTCATATAAAAATTTCATTGAAAAAAATTATCTTCGCGATCAAAATTGTATGTAAAACACGCAAGATGGCGACTCCAAAAACATTCCAATACCTTCAATACTATTCAAGAGCAGAGCGTATATTCGCACTCAGCTCGTTTACACACATCAACGCTGCGACATATAACACACGGGCTGAGTGTGTGTTTATTTACGCGTGTATTTTAGTACCTTGCCTAGTCTGATTGACCATTTGTTTTGAAAACAAATCAACGAGAGCTACGCACGGCAAATTTATGAGTGAATCAGCTGTGTGGTACTAGATTTCATTAATACATTACTTAATAATCTGCCAATTTCAAATTGATACAGAAATTTAATTTTTTCGTGCCAATTTGGAATACTATTTCGCAAAAGCATGATTTTTTCTACAATTTCAATAATCCATTGGGGTGATAAATTATGCCATTGGAATGATGCGAGAATATCTCGTTTTTATAATGCAACTGCGTTGAAAAAACGCAACGCATAGAATTCAGCCACTGATTCAGATATTGTGTTTTCAGATAGCTAGCTGATATCATCTCAATATATTGTCTGGGCTGGAATTCTAAGTCATTCCACCAATCGGGACATTCGAAACTGCAAAATAGTTTGAACAAAGAAAAATATTACATAAAATCATTGATTTTCGATATTTTTAAAGAATGACCCAAGTCAGATATTCTAATTATTTACGTACTTTCCTGTAGAATTATCATTTGCCAATATGTTGACATGTTTGCAACCCAATTCCTTATAAATTGATATAATATTTTCACTGGCACTTACATTATGGATTGAATTTATGATTGTAAGTATGTTTATGAACTCGACCATTAATAATAATTTTGAAGTCATTTTTGGGGATTGGATTAATTTTCCAATTGAATTTCGTTTTTTTTTTGTTATACTCTGGATTTTTCCCCTTCAGCTAGGAAATAACCAAACAATTGAATATGACGCAAAAGTGAATTTTAGCTTGCAAATCTCAAAATTGGTCATGCGCAAAGTGCAAAAATATGTAATTTAAATCCATGTAAAGTATCCCTTGATATATTTTATTCATGAAATGTACAAACAATTGGAATAATAGCTGGCAGAGGTGGCAACGGACACAAAATTTGTCCGTCCGTCCGGCCGAGCT